AGATCACGGAGGTTCGATCCTAGATTATACAATATAGAAGCATGTTTTGGATAATTTTGATCATACGTCATCTCTTGAATGGCCAATGCTCGCTCGAAACATTTCTGCGCTTCTTCATGCTTTCCCAAATCACGGAGGTTCGATCCTAGATTATTGAATATAGAAGCGAGTGTTGGATGATTTTCATCATACGCCATCTCTTGAATAGTCAATGCTCTCTCGAAACATTTCTGCGCTTCTTCATGCTTTCCCAGATCACGGAGGTTCGATCCTAGATTACTCAATGTAGTAGCAAGTGTTGGATGATTTTCATCATACGCCATCTCTTGAATTGCCAATGCTCTCTCGAGATATTTCTGCGCTTCTTCTTGCTTGCCCAGATCACGGAGATTAATTGCTAGATTATTCAATGCAGTAACACATTTTGGATGATTTTGACCATACGCCATCTCAACAATAACCAATGCCCTCTCGAAACATTTCTGCGCTTCATCATGCTTGCCCAGATCACGGAGGTTCGATGCTAGATTATTCAATGTACTAGCAAGTGCTGGATGATTTTGGCCATACGCCATCTCTTTAATTTTTAATGCTCTGTCGAAACATTTCATACCTTCTTCATGATTGCCCAAACCAATAAGGTTCGATCCTAGATTATTTAATATAGAAGCAAGTGTTGGATGATTTTGATCCATCACCATTTCTTGAATAGTCAATGCTCTCTCGAGATATTTCTGCGCTTCTTCATGCTTGTAAACATCAAGGAGGTTCAATCCTAGATTATTCAATATAGTAGCAAGTGCTGGATGATTTTGATCATACGCCATCTCTTGAATAGCCAATGCTCTCTCGAAACATTTTTGCGCTTCTTCATGCCTGCCCAGATCACGGAGGTTAAGTCCTAGGTTATTCAATGGAGTAACAAGTTTTGGATGATTACAATGATGATAAAATTCTTCCATCATAAGTACTGTTTGAAAGAATGTTTTTGCAGCTTCGTGCTTAGCGTGGGTTTGGCAGACGTTTCCCGCAGAGGTGAAGCAACTCACGGACTCGTTGTGTCCTTGTTGAAAATTCGTTTTTCGTTTTATGGGGGATAAAGATTTCGTTCTAAAATTGGATAAATGTTTTGAAAGGTGCATAAAATGCACTGCTACCAATTTTGTTGTTTTAATGTGATTGACGTTGTCCTCATCAAAGACGTTTAAAAGTACTGAAAAAGCATTAATTACGTTTACCAAGAAATAAAATTCTTCGTTTTTGCTCTTGTTTAGAACAATATCTTGTATACAGCTATGTACAACTTGATGTACACCAATTTCTTTTGACTGGTCTTCTGAAGAAGAAAGAATAAGTGAAGATGAAAAGACAGTGGCAGCCACGAGGTCGTCGTCTTGATCTGGCATACACCGTGTTACATATTGTACGACATATTCCAAAGATATCCGCTCAGGGCCCAACGCAGACAAGAACTGAAAAGTATGCATCATAACCTTGTCTGCAGCCATTTCTTTTTCTAAGGCCAACTTGACTGCTGCAGTCATCGATTGAGGGTAAGTTACGCTAATTCTTTTATATTCCCCTTCAGTCGCTTCTCTCTTGCCTTGTTGAATCTTCTGTAAATATTCTTCCCATGAGATTGACGTTATATCACTTACACGCTTCATGTAAGTTGCTGCACACGCTAGTGCTAGTGGCTGGTAATCTAGAGCCTTCGCAACTTGTAAAATGCATTCTTTATTTGAAGAAACGCCCGATATTTYAGAWAGTGTTTTTACCGCTTCRTCAGGTTTCATACCGCGACTAAGGGATAAATGGTAAGTGTACGAATCATAGGCAACAATGGATCGACTGTCTTGTGTGGTAATAAGTATCTGACCATTGCCCTCCGTCTTCTCTCCCGCTTGTGGTAAGAATCTGAAGACTGATTTAACGTCTGTGACGTTATCCACAATCAAGAGCCATGAAGAATACTTTCGCAGTTTGGGAGCTACAAGACTTTTAAGATGAATAAGTTTGTCTTCCGGAGAAAGATCTTTTGATGTTCCAATACTCGTAGTAGAATTCTCATCGCAGTTTAAAGTAATTGCAAATTCAATATATGATTGTATCAATGTGTCTATACTGGATGCGTTAAGGGCGAACACAAACTTTACTTGATCTGTCGCGTTATCGGGAACATCATCGAAAACACTCTCGCCTATCTGCCTTGCTATTTCACTTTTGCCACAGCCAGGATTCCCAGACAGATAAATAACAGTTATTTCATTTCTTTTTATGCTTCTCAACCTTTTCATCTCTTGTAGTATCTCATTCATTTCGCTTGAACGATCGATAACTTCGTGGGATGGTTTGGGTGGCAAAACACAAAACGATCGTGGTTCCTCGTTACGTATTTTCTCCTTTTCTAACTGTTGCTGAATGAGACGTAGTTCCTCTGTAGGAAATGTTTTCTGGTTTTTGATTGCCTCGATACCAGCAGTGTCTAGTTTCAGGGCGCTAAAAGCATCTATGACCGTCTGGATAGAGGTTTGAAAATCCCTTACTGTCAGCTTTCCATCAGACACATGAGCAAAGACTTTATTACGGAACTGACGTAAATCATCCACGCCTTTCTTAACAACGGGATCGAGAGCCTTGCCAATACTATCTGAATAAAGAATGGCAAAAGAAAGACTGGTACAGTCCCATTCACGACTATTGCCATTTCTCAAAATTAAAAGTTCTCGTGAATTTCTCTTACGACTTTTAGAAGATTCCATGCTGTACAAATCAATGCCATTCTTAGCCGTATCTTGCCACTGGCCGTGTGTAGCCTGGTAATGAGTGTCCCATAATTGTTCGAAGACTACTCGTAGTCCGTCAGCAATGATTCGAGTGGTGAGGTTGCAAACTCTGAAGTAGTTAAGTTCTTCTGTGGAATACTCTTGTGCTGCGGCCATCTGCAATAACAATATAACACCAGTCAACAAATAATTAAGTACAAATCAACTACGTGTTATATTGGACGACCGCTCTCGGTATGAGCGTCGGGATCTTTATTGCTGCGAGCCAGCAGGCGATCAGCGACACTAATCTTGACGATTGGGATCCCTGTGTACCTTTGAGGATGCTATGAAAAATCTCGATTTTCTCTTACTCCCGGAGTAGTCAATCGATAAAAATCGATATCGATTTTGCCAATCGATAGATCGATAACAATCGATACCGCTGATTTGATTGATATCGATTGTATCGATCAATCGTTAAAAATCGAACTCACACTAAATTTTTGTATCGATTTTTATCGATTGATTGATTATATA